ACTTGTATTAGTAACCCCAAAATACTCCTTATTTAGGCAAGCATAACTCCTTTTAACTCACTATGAGTTTTACTTGAAGTCTGAATGAAAACTGCAGTGGTATAAAATCCACTCAGATATTTTCATAACCTAATTGGGATGCTTATATTACAAAACTGTGTTATTCTCAGTCTCTACTCACAATTACAAAGAAAAAGTTTTTTGCTAAAGAATGTGTCAGTATTTTCCATGGAAAATGATTTAAAGAAATGCTTTTGAAATATGGAAGCCTCACGGTTTTAGCTTTAAATAAGCATTTCAGTCATCATAAAAAAACCCTCTAATGTCTCCTGCAGCTTTGATTTCAAACACGTCACATTCTTCATTAAAGCAATCATTGTTAAAACAGAGGGACATAAAGCAACATAGGATTTATTCCTTCATTAAACTGATGATCCGTATATGAAGCCAATTAACATTATGAGTCTGGTGAACATCAAGTGTAAAGAGGTTACAGAAAATTAAAAGCAGTCACCTTGGTCTTTAGATAAAGAAAGAACACTTTTACATTATAAATTATAAGAGTGTCCAAGCGGGACAAATCGGCAAATTTCGTTAATTGGAAAATACATTTTACTGCACATGAATTAGGGTAAAATAACCTTTTAGCTACTAGCCTTTTTTTGTGGTCAGATATTGAGAATCATGGGAAAGGAAGTGTTTGGACATGGAAAGGCAAGAGAGCCATTTCATCAAACTTGAGCCATTCAGACTTTCTTGTGTATACAAATGTTCCCCTCAAAGCTGAGCACTCTCAAGGAAAATGTCCATTCAGTGACTGTCCTCACCAGTTCAGTCCTGGGTTATATTGCCATGGGAGTAAAATGAGAAGAGGTGTGTTTGTGTGTGCAGCACAGAAACAGTCCTGCTTTAAGACAGGCACAGTCAGCAAAACATCTATCCATAATTATAATTATTTAGACTTTTCCTTGCAGGCCTAGTAACTAATATTGATGTAATAACAGTAACAGTAATATAAAAATACTAATAGCAATAATAGTAATAATAATAATAAAAAATAAATGTATGAGACACTTAAAGACTTTGCATAAAAAGGGATTTTTTTGCTAAAATATTGTAGCTCACCTCAGTATGTTATTTCACGTTACAGCTTGGTTTTATTGCTTGTCTTTGGTAGCTAGGTGAGCGGAACTACTAGAAAAGGCTAGCTATGATCCAAAGCAATTTACTCTTTTCTTCCCTGTGCTCCCAGCTTCACAGGAAAGCATCTGCAGAAGAGGGACACGGAGAGACCCAGAAACAGCCCTGGCATCAGCCCTGCCCCGGGGAAGGGGCTAACCCCGCGCTACACCCCAGCGGGACGGGCCGGACAGTGCGGTGCCGGGCGGTGCGGTGCGGCGCCGGGGGGCGCGGAGCGGTGCGGTGACGGGAGGCGCAGTGTGGTGCGGTGAGGTGCGGGGGGTCGCGGAGCGGTGCCGGGGGGCGCGGAGCGGCGCGGAGCGGTGCCGGGGGGCGCGGAGCGACGGGCGCTCTCCATGGTGCTGAAACGCAACGCGCCGCTGCTGCTGGCCCTGGGCTCCAGCCGCCTGAGGACGGCACCCAAGACTCCGAAGAGCTAACTTTTAATTATGTCAACCCCACGTTTCATGCATTAAAATTAAACAGGCACTGAACTGGTGAGTGGTGGAGGATTATATATTGGTTAGTTATCTCCTTGTTTTGCAGCTGAGAAAGTTGAACCTCACCCGGCTCAGGGTCCTTCTGCTTCTATTTAAAAAGCAGTGACTTGGAGCACTTCCCCGTGCTCCATTTCACCCTCTCTGCCTCTTGCAATACGCTGAACTTGCAGGCTTCAAACTGCTGGGGAAAGTGAGTCTTGGAGCCAAAAGGGCAATGCAGCCCCCTGACTAGAGCAAGGCCTGAGAGCGCCATAATGAAGTTATTATTATTTTATTAGGGGTTCTTATGATAAAACACTCTCTCTCACTCCTTTCTTCCTGACGTCAGAGAAAAAGGAAGAGGCATATCTGTCTCTGAGCAAAAGGATCCTGCAGTACTGGCCCTACGTGGATTTTAAAGCTTGGGATGGAGAAACTGGCAAGGGAGATCCAGACAGCACCTTTGGGTTATGTTCTTCTTTTTAAGGTTAATTGACCTATTTTAAGGAGTGCTGTCAGATTCCGAACGTTGGTCTTGTGTCTTGCACAGTGCTGTAAAAGCTGTCTCAATTCATAGTATACTTTGCTGTTCAGAGACTTGCCTGGATGGTAAGTCAGTATCTGTTGTCAAACAGTGATATCCCTAAAAGCCTTTATGTATGTGTATACATGTAAATATTTATATGTTTGTGTGTATGTATATAAAACCACGTTTGAATACAGCTTTCTAGACTTATCACTAATATGCTAAAATTATAGATGAATAGATAAGATCAGATGAAATCTATTTGGGTCTCAGGTACAATTAATTTTTGCCTTGCTTTGCTAAAATAATGGTTTACAGGACTGAAACATAACTTCAGCTTGAGTATACATTAGGGGCATTTCCACATCTTTGCCTAGTGTGAAAGGCAGATAGAGCAGGTGATATTTCTAAGGCTTATTAGTGTTTATTTAATGAGATCGCATATGTAGACTAACTTTCCAAAGACACCATCTCTTCAGAATCTCTATTTCTGCACCTGTATCATCTGTATCCATCTCCTTTGCTTTGGTATGAACATGCTATGTCTTTAAACTCCCATCAGATCTAAGACAGCCTGTGTAGATTTGCTCGCCCTTCCTGCACAGAACATTACAATGTTTATAAAATATTAAATTTGTGTAGTCTGCCGGAGAAGCAATTGTTCCAAAATAAAATCAGCAGTCTAGACGAAACATAGACACCAGAACTTATCAACAGTTGTCTGACTTACATCTTCTGATGCATCTTGAGTGGGTCATAATACCAACTTTATTTTCAGTGGTGCATAAATTAATTACACGCATTTAATAACCAAAATATCATTATATTCCCCCTTTAATATCATAAAGGCTTTACGCCAGGGAAGCACTTAATGTGCAGGGGGCCATAACAGGCTATTATCCTTGTGTAATGCTATTACAGAACCAATTATGCGCCATTATACTTGCTTTTTTTGCAGTTTATGTGATTTGATCCAATCCCGCGTCCCTGACTTGAAAATTTCATCTGGGTACTTTAAAGTCTAATTTTCACCCGGGCTGAGGCAAGGGCCATCTCTCTCCGCTGAGCCTATGTCTCGGATGCATTTTAAAAGTAATTGCAAAGGGTCCCGCCGCATATCATTTGCAGACGGGAAGCGAGCATAAATCCAGAGACCCCTCGCTGTGAACAAAATCAAACTTTGCCGTGGTACGATCGCTTTGGAAAGGCAAGGCGCGTGCAGAGCGGCCCCCCAAAACCCATCCGGCGGCAATTAGCCGGCGCTTTGTCAGCGCCGGGGTCCAGGCGGCGGGGCAGGGCTCGCCCGGTGCGGCGCGGCACGGCGGGGCACGGCACGGCACGGCACGGCGGGGCACGGCACGGCGCGGCATGGCACGGCGCGGAACGGCACGGCGCGGCGCGGAGGGGCCCCCCCGGCCCCGCAGCCCGGGGCACCCCGGGGCGGTGGGGTGGGGGGAGCCGCCGGGGGCCGCCCAGCCCCGGAGCGCCGACGCTCAGAAAATAATGGGATTTTGTTGCTGCTGTTCACATTCCTGGTGTTCGCTGAGAAATGACGGGTTTTTTCTTTTCATCTTTCTTTTTTTCTTTTCCTCTTTTTTTTTTTTTTTTTTTTTCCCCCTGCTCTGCACACCACGTGGGCCATTTGTAGGGCCCAATAGACCTATCCAAGTTACTCACTGTAGACAGCGCTGGAAATAATCAGATTAAGGCCAATTATGCGTGAGATTATAAAGGCAAGTGCTGAGAGGCAGAGCATGCTGTAGACAGATATAAAGACATCTGGCCACTTCCAGAACTCCACAGAGCCCTTCTGTCTCTGCAGCCAACAACTCACAGCGCCTTATTTCAGTGCAAAATACCCTCAAACCTTACTGGTGATTTTTGCTTCTGTTCGGTTTAGGTATGGATTACTATTTTTATTTGATTTGTGGATATTTTAATATGACTGCATATAAATGTGAATCGGTTTTTTTCTTGCTGAGGACTTTGGTTTCCAACCTGAACACAGCTCCCAGTGTGTTGAATGCTTTAAAAAGAAGACAGCTTTTAGCTTTTATTGCTGTTTCATTGAGGAAGAATAAGTGTAGAATTTTTAAAAACGGTTCGTTCTTAGCTATAGGCATTTTTTTTTCTTTATGTAATTATTTGCTCTGGAAGTTTATAGTTGAGATAATTAGATAGATAGATAGGTGAGTGGATAGATAAATAGATAGGTGGATAGATGGCTAGATGGCTAGATAGATGGCTAGATGGATGGATGGGTGGATGGATGGATGGATGGATGGATGGATGGATGGATGGATAGATAGATAGATAGATAGATAGATAGATAGATAGATAGATAGATAGATAGATAGATAGATAGATAGATAGATAGATAGATAGATAGATAGATGATAGATAGATAGATAGATAGATAGATAGATAGATAGATAGATAGATAGATAGATAGATAGATAATCTGCTATTTGACAGGGAAAATAATTTTTTAAAAAATCAAAGAGAAGCAACGAAGTTTTAGTGATTCTGATTACTGTGCACCTACCACAGAGTTTTCTGCCTTTGGCTTTTTCAGTTCGTTGCACAGGGTTAGACACTACTTTGCTTCCTCTGGGATGGGATCTAGGGTTATCAGTGAGTTTCTCTAGGCGCTTTCTTCTGGCTATTCACCTATCCTTTCCCTCTCTTTCTGTCTTCAGGTCTGAAGGAGACGCCTCGGCGGTGCGTGGCGGTGCCCGGCTGGGGAGCTGGTGCGCGGGGGGTGCGCGGAAGCCCCGCGGCCCGCGGGCTGGCCCCGGCCCCGGCCCCGGCCGCCGTCGGCCTCGCAGCGGCGGGCAGCGGGCGCCCACCCAGCCGCGGGGCCATGTTCTACTTCCACTGCCCGCCGCAGCTAGAGGGTGAGTGTTGTCGCACAGAGACGTGTAAGTACGAGAGCTGAACTTCGAGGCGTGTGCGGGGGTGTGTGCGCTGGGGACGGAGGGAGACACTGTGGTCTGGCATCTCCAAGACTGTCGGGGTACAGATATGTGCTGAGATAAGATGCAAATCTACAGACAGCTAGATATCAAATCGTATTATCTTTTTGCTTGAGAAAACACAACCCTATCCCCCGCTCACCGTGCCCAGCTTTCCCCTCTTGCCACAGAATGGAAAGAAAGATTACATGATTTCTTTTTTTTTTTTTTTTTTTTTTTTTTTTTTTTAATTTGATTCCTGTTGGAAAGGCCTTGTTTTTACACCCCCACCCCCGTCATTTTGCCACCTGCCTCCCCTCTGCGGATAGCGATCCCGCAGTTGAGCCTCAGGCTACGAGAGAGATGCTTTTCTCCCCTCCCAGCACAGATGTTGGTGTCATGGCTGTAATCGGGACACTTTCAGGACGTGGTCACGCCTCCTCCCTCTAGCCAAAGGGACCACATAAATCTTTAATGCTATTTTACAAACATTCTGCGGGAAGATGGAGCACGACTGAAAAAAAAAAAAAAGGCGAAAAATAAATATTAGTGAGGATTTTCTTTGTGTTACTGATCGGAGGGTTTTGTTTAATTTGTTGTTTGTTGGTTTATTTGTTTCCTTTTTAAAGAATATGGCAGCTTTCGGGATTTCCCCCTGTCACCCCCGCATATGCCCAGGGCCCCCTGCACCCGCTCCCTCCGGACAGCGCTCGTAGTGCGAGAGCAGCCCCGAAGCCTCGGCCACGGCCACGCAGCTTCAGCTCCGGGTGGGCTGTCCCGCCGCGCCCGGGCATTGCCGGCGCTCGCCGCGGCTGCACGGCGGAGAAAAGGCGCCAGGACCTGTAAAATCCCCCGCCCCCCCCTCCCCCCCCCTCCCCCCCCGCTCCTTGCCTGGGCATCACCCGGCGAGAGAGGGGCTTTCCCCGCTGCAGCGCTGCCAGGAAGAGGTGGTCTAGCGATTTCATTCTCCTCTGAGGAAGGGTCATCCCCCTCTGTGAGCACGGCTGGCCGAGGGCCAGCGGACCCAAGCTGGTCTGCGCATCGCCGCCTGGAAAATTCTCTCCCCAAAGTTATCTCCGGCCCTGCTGGGGGAGCCGGGGTGAGCAGGACAGGGTCGGGGCCCCTCCTCACCCCGCCAGCCTGCCCCGCCGCCCCCGCCTGTGTCACCGAGAGCTGGGGCGACTTTGCTCGTTAGTTTTTGGCAGACAGCTTTGAAAACGTGCTCGTTTGTTTGTTTCTTCGGTGGCAGTTTGGGGCTGGTTTTTGCGGCCCGAGCCGGGTCCCCGGGGGCTGCAGCCTCTCCCGGCGGGCGGGTGGCCAGTCTGCCCTGCTAAAGGGTGAAAAAAGCGTACAGCAACACAAGTGGGAAAAAAAAAAAAAAATACACTGCCCCCGTCCAAATCAAAAAACCCACCCATCACCAAATTGAAAAAGCGGCAACAGAAAAGCCCTTTTCGGCCAGTGTTTTTGGTGGGTTTGGGCACTCAAGGAGGCCCGGCGGTGCCCGGGGGAAGTGACCGGGCTCTGAGGGTCACCGGGACAGTATTTTATTCTCTGATGAGCATCTCCCGGGGCTGCAGGGAGCTGTCGGTGTGTGCCAGGAGGGGGCTGGGAGCCGCGTTTATCTTCCAAATGATGCTGCGAGATGAGAGGCGACCTCGGGCCCCTGTGCCCTGAGGCGGGGCCGGCCCGGCCCGGGACGCTCCGCCGGGAAGGTTTGCGGGTCAGGTCTGGGAGACCTCAGCAACGCGTCTGTGGCTTTGGGTACTTTTCGGTTCCGTGATGTTTTGGTTTACGTTTTAGTTTGGGTTGGGTTTTTTACCCTGTTTTGTCAGCGAACAGAAAGAGAGCAAAGCATTTCAGCCAGGGCACCGGTGATGTCTAAGTGGGGGAGCCACGAAGGCAGGGGTCTGCTCCACGGGAGGTGGTTTGCATCCCGGCAGGCCGTCTGTTCTCTCTCGGCCTCCGAGAGAAACTCACAGTGACCCAATCTCCCCCTCGAGCCCCTCCGCCGGTGAAGGGCAGGAGCTCCCTCCTCCAGCCCCGATGCCGAGTCCCGGCGGTCCACCCGTGGCCGAGCCCCAGGCGCGCTCCCACCGCCCCCGGTGCTCGGCCCTGTACGAAGTCGTCCGTGATCGTGTTCGTGGGTCGTCTCCAGGGATGAGGGCAAGCACACGGGGGGGTGGCTTGGCCGCTGCTCGGCGGGTGGGGGGGGAGTGCGGGGAGAAAATTACCACCGGCCCCACGCTGCTCCCTCCAGGCACGGGGGCTCCACTTGCTCTCCCGGCAGACGAGCAGGGCTTTCACCAGCTCGAGCTGCCGTCACCACGCTTGGGTCAGAGCCTCGTCTCTTCGTCCATTTAAAACACACATGGCCTTAAAAAGACCCTTTCCCGGGGCGGGCTGCCCCTCACTCGCGGCGGGGTGAGCTCAGGCGGGCAGGACCCCCGGGTGTCGGCAGGACTCCCCAGCCCCGCGGGGTCCCCGCTGTCCGGATCGCTCCCGCGGTGCCTCCCAGGCCGGCCGCGGTGCTCGGGGCTCGGCGCCCCTCGGAGATGGGGCAGCGCTCCCCTCTCGCTCCGTTCCGCTCCACAACGGCTCCCAGCCGCCGGCCCCGCCGGGCTGGCCCCGGCTCCCGGCCCTTCGCCCTCCCGTCCCGGGGGCTGCGGTTCCGCGCCCCGCGGCCCCTAACGCGGCTCTCCTCCCGCAGGCGCGGCACCCTTCGGAGGTCACTCTGCCGGCGACTTCGATGATGGGTTCCTGCGAAGGAAGCAGCGCCGCAACCGCACCACTTTCACCCTGCAGCAGGTAGGAGCCTGCTCCTCTCTGCCCCCTGATCTGCACCTCGATTGTCCCCCCTCCTGCCCCCCCGCCAGTCCCCTGCCTGTCCCCTGCCTGCCCGCCCTGCACCCCCCGGCCCCCTGCCCGGCCCGCCGCCTCGGGCGGCCCCGCTTTCCCCATCCCTCGCAGAAACCTCCCCGGGGCAGCCGGACAGACAACCCCCCGAGAGGGCAGCTCCCCGGCCCGTACCGCGCTCCGAGCCGCCCCGGCCCCTGACAGACCTCTGCTCTCCTCCCCTCCCCCAGCTCGAGGCACTGGAAGCCGTTTTTGCTCAGACCCACTACCCCGATGTGTTCACTAGGGAAGAGCTGGCTATGAAAATCAACCTCACGGAAGCCAGGGTGCAGGTAAACATTCTGGGGAATTATTTAACTCTCGGGTATTCAAAATGACAAACTTTTTTTTTTTTTGACATCATGACTGCAGAGTGCACATTTGGCCAAAGAACGCAAATGAAGACGATCTGTCATTTTCATGATGCACTTTAATAACATCAACATAATGTGGAATATTAGATTAGGTTGATTAATCGGTCATTCATAATTAACTAGTGATAATGTTCTACACTAATTTGTCCGCGTCTCCAAGGTACTAAATTACATCAATGCACATCCATTTCCTTGCTTTTGGAGGGGGTGTGTGTGGAGAAAAGAGCTGAGACGTGATTCTCCAAAGCAACTATGACCACTGTCGAGCAATGGGGTTAGTCAACTGCAGGGAGCCCAGCTGCCAGGAAGAAATCTTTTGCACTTCTTCAACTTTTCTCCCTTTCGCCTTCTTTCTGAACACTTAATTTAGACAGCTAAAGAGCCTGCAGAGCAATTCTCACACTTTTAATATGATCCAATAAATATCATTGGCCACAATTACTCTCTTTCCACCCCCACTCTTTTCTACCCCTTCCTTTCTTGCTTCCTTCTCCCCAGTTTTATCTCTTTTTTTTTTTTTTTTTTTTTTTTTTTTTTTTTTTTTTTAAATCCAGGTGTTTATTTTTCCATATCCAGAGATTAACTTTGGGTGTCTATAAGCTCTACTAAGAACAGCGGTCCTCCAGTTGTCAGAGATGGATCCTTATAACTCTGCAGGCATCCACCACAGAGTTGCAAACCATTTTTTGAACATGATTATGTATTCATTTTATTTATAGGGCTTTTCTGCATGCCGTTTTGGGGGTTTTATTTATTTAATTATTTATTTATTTTATTTAGGTGCTCGGGGTTAAGACTATGCAAAGATCTAATTGTAGGAAATATAATAGCTTGCCTTTTGTTCCCTAGGGTCATGTTAGTATCTCTTAAAACCCAATGGCTGAAGAGAGATAATGGAATTTACCGCAGTAAATTGGGGATTGTAAACAAATTATTTCTCCTATAATCAGATTATGTGATCCTGATTATTAAATCTGAACATGAATCATTGGTCATATGCGGGCAAATTAAACTGATTATTATTTGGAAATGAAAATCCCCTTTTGCCACTGCATTGTAGGTAGTGGCTTAAAAAAAAAAAAATTAAAAAATACCATTTTGGCTATTGGTGCCTAAAGACTGAACGGCAAATTGAGATAAATGGGACAATTATTGAGCATTCAGAAGTGGAAGATCATAACTTCTTCCTGAAAGGTGCAAGGGTGAGATAGGGGTGGTGACAATTAGATTGCTGAGGACTGGTGTTTAGCCTTGTTGTTGGCTATTATGCAAACAGACAATAGATGCAAGCATTTGTTTAGCCTGCTTTCATGCAGGGACATGGTGAAACACAGAGGATGGGAGATATGTTTACATTTATACCCCTTGCTCATTCAAATATGATTAATGTGCTATAAAGCAGAGTCTTAATCGAAGATGATGTTGTCAAACAATAACTAAATAGGGAAATAAACGACTTCATCATGCTCTTTCCTCAGAAGCAGGCGAACTGTCAGTGCAAAGTCATTAAAATATGATAATGAAAAATAGCTCAATTAAATGTTGTTATAGCTGTGACCTTCATTCAATTAAGACACAAGAAAGTGTCTGCATTTTGCTTTGCATTTAACTGCTCTAAATTTAGAATATAGATAAAATCATTATTCAACGTTTGCTGATACATGCAATTAAAAGGCAGCTAACTAAAATGGAGTTGTAGGAGGAGAATAATAATAATAACAATATCGCCTATACTTGAAGTCATGTATTAAAATGTGGATTTCCTGACCTCAAGAGAGGCTTGGCGTTTTCCACACCAGAGAAGGTGCTTTCAGAGCATCAGCTCCAAGGTAAATGGAAAAAAAAAGAAAAAAAGTGTTTGGACTAAAAGTCAGGCAAGGGATAAAATCAAGAACATGAATATTTGTATTGCATTACAGAAAAAATGCTTTGGAAACTGGTGTGTATTAAACTGCAGAATGATCTTCCAAAATTAGTATTTACCATCTTTTGAGTCCTCTAAATTCAGACTGGACAAATACATCAGCGGAATAACAGCAAGTATCAGTCCTCTCCAGGAAATGGGCTGGATAAGATGGCCTAATACATACCTTATAATTTCTGACCTCTTTGATTCTAGCAGCAGCTCACTTAAAGACCTATATATAGTTTTGTCAGGGTGCTTAGATATGTATTAATCTGATATGTATTATATAGGTACATATTAAAGGCCATCCCTACACAAAAGGCTTTTGGATGTGCTAAAACATAGATTTTTTTTTTTTTTAGAATGCCTTTTGATTATCTTTAGACATTCCTGGCTTGTTTTCCAGACTCAGAAATATTCCAAACAACACAAATGTAATCCTAACGCTCAACTAGAATAACAATGGGTACACAAAACAAGAAGAAGTTTTAGCCAAGCTTCTAAATGACTGATTTAATTAAAGTAACAATTTACAATTTCCTTGCTTCACGTTCGGCTAAACATGGTATTCAAGCTTGGATTGCTTTCCTGCTTCAGGTGTGGTTCCAAAATCGAAGAGCTAAATGGAGGAAAACAGAGAGGGGTGCTTCTGACCAAGAGGGCTCTAAGGAGACAATGGCTGAGGTGGCACCTCCTGCAAGGAATTTAAATTCCCCTTCCCCAGCAGATCAAACCAGGAATAAAAAAGAGGGTCTGGAGATCCCGCAGAGGTAAGAGTAATATGTTATCAACTACTTCTTTTTGGGACAAGCATGCATGATATGTATGTGCATACATACAGACCTGCCTGCTGCTAACCCTTGACCTACACAGCATCATCTTCACATAGCCCAAATCATTAGAAGATGAACAGTCTCTCTTGCAACTCACTGGTCCCTGTGAAAATGCAGAGAAGCTGGTGACTGTGGGAGGCTAATGTTACCCGCTTGGTCCCAGCTAGTTGGATGCTGAGACATCAATGTGTTTGTGTGAATGCACAAATGATGTCTTTGGAATCAGCTAGTTCTGTTTTTGTAAGGAAGTTGTTTTCTTTTCTCCACCAGCCTGAGCCGAGCAGTGGGTCCTACAGGACCTTTCTTCCCTTCCTGCCTGCCAGGGACTCTTCTCAACACAGCCACCTATGCACAAGCTTTATCCCATGTTGCCTCCCTAAAAGGTAAGTGACTTTTTTTGACTTTAGGGATAAGCTCAAAGAGCGTCTCTTTCCAGCTAAGCGGCATGGTCCCACTTGAGGCAGTGGGGAAGCCTTTGGGAAATGATGGATCCTTTCTTCCGTTACGACTGGCAGTAATTGCACAGAATGATACTGCAGATACAGGAGTGAGACTCCTGCAATAACTTGTAGCATCACTTGTGACAAAGCTCCTTCATACTCAGACAGTTAGTTTTAGTGAGTGCTGGGTTTGTCTCAAAGAACAAGGCAGGTAGGCTTTTCTTCTTTAGAGTTTTCTTTGCATATGCTTTTTTTTTTAGGAGTCATATTTATACTAATAAATTAGTTATACACATCCTTTTGCATTATACATTACCTGGAAGCACTACTAATGCCTCATCTACTCTGCATGCAGTTTCCTTTGCAGTGCATCTCTGCACAATGCTAGACCTTTCTCTTCTTGAACAGTAGGTCCCCTCTGAGGACTTAAATAAAGCCTGTGAAGGAGGACAGGGGAGGACACAAAGTAATTCCTCATTACCTCAGACTTAGGCTTCAGGAAGGGTATATCCAGTGTTCATATCCATTTCAGTTCCCAAAAAGCAGCAGTATGCGTCTTTTAAAAATAAATCACCAGCTGATCCATTAGCTGTTCCTAGTCTAACAATTTATAAGACTAAGGGTGTAAGCAGGATGAATTCAATTTATAGATTTATAGGAGGTAAAGTCTCATAGCACTGCCAAGCACAAAGTGGCACATACATTTACTCTATGCTCCAGTGTGGTACAACAATTTGTGAGGAAAGTTTCCCAGTTTAAGACTCCCTACTACAAACACAAATGTCCTCTAATACCTCTTACTATGTTGTCTGGCATATCTCCTGCTCTTTGTGAGTATTTCCAGTTAAATCAGCATTGCCAATGTATATTCGTGAAGCAAATGACTGTAACTGCTGAGTTTTGCATTAACTCCTGTGTCCTGCCCCCCTTCCCCCTTTCCTCCTGTCTTTCCAAAAAAGCTGAAGCCAGACACACCATACAGCTACTGCTGTTCTGATAGGTGTGGAACCTGTGATTTTGAATCAAGAAAAGCCATACATGTGTGATGTGAACCCTAAAACTTCAAGGATTACTGTCAGCCTAAACCCTGTAAGTGGGCAGTGGCTGTTGGACTCTCAGTCTCTGCCTTGTGACTGCAAAGACTTGGGGTAGAGAGTTTTGGCTTCTTCCGTTTGGGAGGAAAAGCTTCTCTGGAGTAGATACAAGTAAAATTCCTCAGGCAAAAAGATTGTTCACTGATAAATGTAGTCCTGGCCAGGTTGAAAGGTGTGGAAATGGGGCTGTGTTCAGTGAATTATTTTGGATGGAAGTAAGGGACTTTATTTTTCTTAAAATGTACATTTAAGCATTTTCAAAATTAAATGCATCAATACATTGTTCTCGCTTGTTTCATGTATAAATGTAGATAAATTTTAAGAAAAATAAACCCAATAAACAAAAGCCAAGCAAAATTAAATAAAAATGAATGAAAAATAATGTAATGAGGAGTTTTTTTAGTTTTATTTATTTGGAAGACTTCCAGATATTATTTTCTGTGATTTCACAGCTCAGCCACTAAATTGAGAAATTATTAATTTGCTCTTTTTTGCCTGATAGCAGGTTTACAACCTATGGGCAGGAAAAATCCTATTCCTAAAACTCTTGTAGGGATACTTATTAGATAGTCAGTTGCCCAGGCTAAGAGGCAGTGTCCTTGAAAAATTAGTCCCAAATGTAAATACAGATTTTTTGTAATTTGTATAGGGATGGTCAATTATCAGATGCATGCATATTCTCTTGAATATTGTCAGCTACACATGCAGTTCATTGCTGAAGTGCCCAGTTTATATTTCCTGCCTGACACTAGAAATGTCCAGATATATGCAAGAGGACTGGGATAATGTTGTATATTTTGATTTTAAGAAATCCAGTTACAGATTTGCATATCTGCATATCCACCTACCAGGAGCTTTGTGGAGCTGCCTGTGCCTGTCAACATATTGTTATATTTGCAAGGTCAGCTGAGCTGCTGCTTTGAGGAGATATCTTTTTCTTTTGCAGCTAGATCTCAGTAATGTCAAATTTTGGATTTGAGGTTAAGGGGGAAGGACTTGTTGTTCTATAAGGTGGCAAATTTGATTTATACAAGCAGAGAATAATTGTAGCATATTTCTTGTGGTATTTACATATGGAGTATTGTCGCCTCTTTCCTCTGTTAATTTCCACAAGCTCCTTTCTCCCTGTTTCTCCATTTCACTTGGGCTGGGGTAAGGGCTGTGCAGAGCAGACCCTGAGCTTTAATCTCATTAATTGGCAGTGATGAACAGGGTGATCTCTAGAGATTCTGAGTGGACCAAAAGTATCACAGGCCTGATTCATATTTTGTTTTTCTTTGGTATGGAAACACCAGGTGAATGATGGTTCTTCTAAACCAATGTATTTGAGAGCACAATCAAGCTCACATGTCAGCCTGAAGGAAGAGATAATGGTTGTGGGAAGGAAGGAAAGGACAGGGAGAGACACAGTGTTCACAAAACCTTTATATGCTGTTCTTTGTCTTGCTCAATTCAGTTTGACTCTCCCTTCTCATTTCCCTCTGAGCTATGAGCTAATTTGTACACTTCAGGCATGTCAAAGGACAACTAACCCTACATATAGGTGGGCATTAGTCTGTGTCCTTATATGTCTTAATGAAGTGACCTAGTCCTCTTCCTTGAAAATCTAGTTGCATTTTGCAGCAGAAATGCCAACAGGAGTCCACCACAGTGATTCTGAAGGCATAGGACTTTATGCCACATGTAATCTCATCAAGTCCAGCACAGAGTGTAAAATTACGAGATGTTTGAGTTTTGTATCACTTGGATAAGGAGAAATTCAGCAAGTAGTAAGGTTTTCCAACATTTTGCAAAATTTATTGATGAGTGAAACGATCAAGAGCTCTTCCTGGTATCTCTCTTGTGCCGACCATGCTTTGAAACTGCCAGGAATTCTTTGTGCTTTTGAAAGCAAAATAGTTGCTCCAGAATCAAAGCACCATTTAATTAACAGTGGATGCATGACCCCACTTTTTTCTATGCAAATGTAAAATTAAATGCAGCTCCTCTATCTGGATCCTGTAAGTAGATATATATTCCCACCATTGGGAGAATAAACCTGGCTGGTAAAGGGAAACGTGTTCTTCAGTAAGGCTGTAAAAGCTGCCTGCAGACAAATGGGCACTCTCAGCACATCAGATACTACTGGGAAGTCTAGGTTGTTTTCTTAGTCGTTTGGGGAGACAAGACGTGTTTTGTTGGACTTGTGAGCCAACACTTCATTGGTGTCAGTGAGTAATATTTGACTGCTGCTTTAGAAGGAGACAATTAAAATCAATACAGTGAATAACAAGTGATGATAGTGATGTAACTAATTAATAATTATTTTATGCTCTCAGGGACCATTTTCATTCTGCCACCTGAGAATTCTCTGTCTTCTATAAAGAAACTAATACCTCTCTTTCTCCTTCTCTGACTTTGATTGCTTGGCTCCAGACCCAGATTTCCAAAGCTGCATAAAGTGTCTAAGGCACATGATTCCTGAATCTAATTTGTAGTATAAGTATATAATAGTTGATGATGAAGTTGGTCCAGTAGAGACAAGAAATTTCAGAACAGTCTAGCATGAGGCAGAGACTGAGCCTTCAACTTTGCTTTTGGAAGAACTGTGCAGTGTGCCGTAGACTCGTCTTTTGCTTTGTGTTGCTCTGCAACTCTACAACAGGCAGTGTTCATCTGAACCCCACATGTGCTGCTTCTAGGGAAATGAGGGATATTGTTGGAGCATAAGATTAGGGCTGCTCTGATGAATGAGAATAAAGTTATTCTCCCTAAGCACTATGCTCCATGAACCTTGCTGTCTCTCAAATTTACCTTTTTTTTTTTTTTTCCCTCAAAGGAATGGTATTACCACTGCAAGATGTTCTGTGAAGAAAGCAGGTCAGCTGTGCAATAACAATCAGAACTGTAATTTAGATTACAGACTGTTCCAAAGAAGAGTATATTATCACTGGACAGTTTTTTCATTTTTCTATCAAATATTCTCTATTTAGTAGTACAACAGACCTTTTCCTTTCCTTAGGTGAGTCCTCTCCCCCTCTGAAGTTTAGCACGTTGGAGACTGTACTTAGTAGCAAGCATCTGTTAACTACCATATGACCTCACTACGTACTATTCTTTCAGGAAATACAGTTTCTCATTTGAAAAATTATCATAAGATCATAATTTCTGTGGTATACAGGGTTTCCTACTTCAGGGTTTTAGTACTTCACCACTGGCCATACTCAGGAAGAAGCTTGGCTAACATAGATGAAATTTCTGGTGTTCATTACTCTCTGAAATTGTCCTAATTTGACAACTATGTTACTTCATTGTGGTGGCTTCGACATTTCCATGATCTTCCAAGATGAATCACTTACTGTAAACCATGCATCTGCAGTCCATTTAGTAGATTTAATTGCAGACCTCAAATATGAAGGGAAAATACTTGTTTTATTTATGGGCTGTATAACAAGAGTCATCAGGAGAAGCTAGTGTTCTGTGCAGAGAGAGACCTCAAAGTACCTTCTTAATGGATGACAGCATGAATGCAATTCATTAATGTAGAAGATGTTATTAATGGGTGTAAACAAAAATCTCCGTTTTTTAGCGGAAGTGTTCTACCATTCTGGTGACTGAGGCCAAGAGTGTGTCTGTTGCATTCCACTGAAATTTCCCCAGACCCCATGATGAGTGCAGTGTATGAGGAAAGAAATAATTACACTTGCCAGGGAATTACTTTCATAATTCACCCACAGCTCTGCTCTGTGCAAGTTATAGCTCAGTTGGTTTCACGGCACCTCCACACTACTGATAGAGAAGCAGGACTGCATTATGCACATCAAAGTGAATATTCTATGGCACCTTTGATTAGGCTCTTTTATGGTTTGT